CAACCCCGGCAGTCGGAAAGGCATTGATGAGATTAAACTCAAAACCCTGGGTGTAAGTTACAAAAAAGTGGATGCAACTGTTTAAAAAGTTTTGAAGCTTGTTATGTGCTCATAGATCATGACTAGTGGTTTTTTAGTAAAATATAAGCTTTGACAGATGAATCTAGTGGTTTGACAGGAAAAACCCAAAGAAAAGAGTAAAAATTTTTAATATGGCCTAATTATTAGAGAAAGGCCATGTAAATGTGGCCACCCAAAATCTAAATTTAAATAAAATTTAAGAAAAATTTGTTTCAAAACTGATCCTTGCCTAAAGAGGTACCAGGAAAGCCCTCAGAAGAAAAGGCATAATTGATGCTGACCCCAAAAGGGCCATTGTTGTAAAATATGATTCAGTCCCTATGCCCAAGCATTTTGGCATTACAAAGGGACTTTTCTTTTTACTTTATATGATCTTGTCAGGATGAACGTGTTAAAAGGGACGGGTTAATTCAGTGTAAACCCTATGGACAGGTATAATGTCAGTGATCAAGTATACTAGAGTGTAAGTAAGGGACCCTATGGACAGGTATAATGTCAGTGATCAAGTATACTAGAGTGTAAGTAAGGGACCCTATGGACAGGTATAATGTCAGTGATCAAGTATACTAGAGTGTAAGGAAGGGACCCTATGGACAGGTATAATGTCAGTGATCAAGTATACTAGAGTGTAAGTAAGGGACCCTATGGACAGGTATAATGTCAGTGATCAAGTATACTAGAGTGTAAGTAAGTGACCCTATGGACAGGTATAATGTCAGTGATCAAGTATACTAGAGTGTAAGTAAGTGACCCTATGGACAGGTATAATGTCAGTGATCAAGTATACTAGAGTGTAAGTAAGGGACCCTATGGACAGGTATAATGTCAGTGATCAAGTATACTAGAGTGTAAGTAAGGGACCCTATGGACAGGTATAATGTCAGTGATCAAGTATACTAGAGTGTAAGTAAGGGACCCTATGGACAGGTATAATGTCAGTGATCAAGTATACTAGAGTGTAAGTAAGGGACCCTATGGACAGGTATATGATCAGTGATCAAGTATACTAGAGTGTAAGTAAGGGACCCTATGGACAGGTATAATGTCAGTGATCAAGTATACTCAGGATCAAGTATACTAGAGTGTAAGTAAGGGACCCTATGGACAGGTATAATGTCAGTGATCAAGTATACTAGAGTGTAAGTAAGGGACCCTTTTCCACGCCTTTCAGACGTATTTGGTATATAAGGCTAGACCTATATTTTGTACACCAGCCACACAAGATGGGTACTGTGGTCAGCATCATGCCGGCCACCTTTACTTCCCAGGACTGCACCTGGTACCTACTCAAGGTTAAGTCGACCTGGGAGCCAAAGTCATTTTGAAAAACGTTCGGCCCTAGCCAGGACCTGAGCCCACGACCTTCTGATCTGCAAGGTGATTGGAAGGGCCAAATGTAAGACGGGCCGTGGTGTCCAATTTGTAACCCTTTCAAATAATGATTTTCCGTTTGTTCTGCAACACTTCGGTTAAAGAGTTCCTGTTTTCTTTTTCTTATTCTGCTATTTATTCCCTGATAGAGCACAGGCCCACAACAAGTCACACCAAATTGTTCTATCCTTTACTAGTGTATGCCGATTACCCCATGTCCTCCCCATCTTTTAAACTTCACTCCCCATCTTCCTTCTCAGTTGTCTTTTGGTCTGTCTTTATTTCTATGCCCTGCGGGTTCCAGTGCAAAGACATTCTAGTTATACTATTGTCAAGTTTTATCAGCCTATATCGTATCCAACGCTCGCCTCTTTTCTTCACCGAAATTTGTTTAGTTCTCTCCAAGCAGTTGCAAAAAGCCATAATTCACACTTATTTACTGCCACAAAATGTTTAACCTGTTTGCAACATGTAATTACTTATGTCTAAGCTCTTCCCTACTATGGCCTGTTTAATTCTAACATCTCATTGAACTGACATCACAACGCTGAATTACAACAGAAGATACAATGCTGGATTGTAATTTTAGATTCAACATTAAATTAGTCTGCAAACAAATGTCTTGACATCACAAACCTTGTCTGAGCCATTTTTACACAGAAAGTCTGCAAACTTCCAAATCTCCTTGGGAACCATGTACAGTCGGCCTCCATCTTGTGCTATATCCACTCGGCTAAGGCTGCCAGGTTTCTCCTTTAAAAAAAAAAGCATTAAAGACAAAGTCAATAAAGATAGTCTCCTTTTTCTTCTTAGTGCTACCTGGCAGTAAACTCCAGTGGAAAATTCTGGTTGTTCTGGTCTTGTTCCAGAATTTTGCGTTTTGTGTGCACATCCGTTTTACAGATCTGGCTTATTTGTATGCAGACAGTTGGTTCTCCACCTCTTGGACAGATGCACCCCACTTCTGCGAAAACACCCTAATTAGCTGCTCCTTACAATCTGCTGATTTGGAAAAAGGGTGGGGGAGGGGTCTATTCCTTGTCCTCTT